TTGCACCAGGGCCAATTTTTCCTAGAAGCCAATCAACCTACCAGTATGTTTGTGGACTGTGGAAGGAAACTTGAGCACCCAGAGGAAAAGCACGTGAACATGGGGAGAACACGCAAACTTCACACTGATAGCATCCCAGGTCCGGATTTTGAACGCGGGGCCTCAGTGCTGTGAGGCAGCAATGCTAACTACCATGCTGTCATGCTGCCCTTTACCACATCGATTTATTTTTCATTTTTCTAGCCTTGCATCTCTTAAAGAAAACAGAACGTCTTCCACTCAATGCAAGGAGAGTTCATTCAATCCAGTTCAATAAAATAAAAGATATTTTGCCCCGAGGCACACATTTTGTAGCTTAAGGAAATAACCAAAATACAGAAATGGCAAACAAAAAACAACTCAGAAATTAAAATTGTGCATTTCAAAACAGTGAGACTTACATTGCTGTTAAGCATTACAGTGCAGTGATCTGAAGCAGTAACCTTGCTTGGCCTGATTTTGTTTTGTGTGGAATTAGAAAAGAGATTTGTATAAAATTTTTAAATAAGTCATAAGATGGAATTGTTGTGTATTCACAATAACATTAGTAACCCAAGTTGACAATCATCTCCTCTCTGAAATCACCTGCCATGTCGACTCTTCTACGCATCGACATGTTCCATAGATTCAGGAAAAGTAAATGTGGGTGATATACAGGCACTTGGACAATAGAAAAGAAACTAACTGGAAATAAAACCATTTCTATAACAATCAAGCAATTAACACGCCATGAGTGATGAATTATGAGGGTTAATTGCACATAGGAGGTGGCACAAATGCATGGCCTTCTCAAAGTGTCTCCAAATGACTGACTTAATGGTTGGTCAAAGGTCACCATTTCTTACGTCAAAATATCTAAAGGAACACTGCAGAAGCGTCAGGTTGTACATTTTTTTAACTTTAAAAGGATAAATAAGGCACATGAGAACTCATAAATCCTTCATTTCACGGGAACAGAATAAGATAATAAGTGAATCCCTCTAAATCTTAATAAAATATCTTATTACATGATGTAATGAACAAGCACAAACCCTTTATTATGACGCAAATTTCTTTTTTGGATGGCACAAAGCTTTGTCTTGACTGTACTGTTCCATAGTTGCATGTAGCATCCTGTACTATACATTTTTTAAAATCATATCTTTAAACACACTAGACCCTTTTATTTCACAAAATCCAGATGTACAGTATGTACATAGAAAATATATTACTAACCCCCATTCCCATCTATGAAAGATCTCATGAAAAGTCCACCTTGCTTAATAACCAGGACAAATGGTTCACAAAATTTCAAAACAATGTTCAGTAGCCAGTTGCTCTGTCTGTACCATCACAAACCCTACTCCTGATCATAACGTCCTCCTTCCCAGCATTCCACACTTACATGCACCCACATAACCCAAAATCAAACCCGCGTGAGAGTGTGCACTCCAAACAACTACCCAGTGATACAGTTAGTGAAGCCACTTCATACCAGATGAGATATCTCCTGTCTTTGAATCTTCCTATGGAGTCTCTGGAAATTACCGATCTTCCATTGGGCTACTACACCATCATGTGGTCTCAATTGCTTTATTAGTCTAATTGTTTTTCATTTGAAAATGTTTAGGTGTTTTTTTGTTTGTATGTATTGGTGGCACTTGTAACTGATTATTCGAAACATGCCCATTGGAAGATGCACAAAAGGGTGATGGCTAGAGACGTTCTGTATACTGAGCATGAAGAGAAACTTGCAATGGCAACAGATTCACAGTGCTATCAGGAAAATTGCTTTTGATCTTTTTTGTAGCAGGTGTACTGACATCTTATTGAAATGACATAACACGGGTAAACTTATGATTATGATTCACATAATCTAATATGATCAACATAATCAGAACATAATTAACATAAGGGGTCTGCTGTAAAGCCACAGGTAGTTTGTGTGGCCATTGCTAGGAGCAAGCTGCACGCTTGCAAAACCCACAGCAGTTTACACCAGGTTGCAGATTCTGTCCTATAGTTGTGTAGTCTGGACACACAAGTCTGTTCATTGGACACATTGGACACTGGGCTTGAGCCTTAGATGCAACGTGTCATCCCAGCTACAACCACAGTGCTCAAAGGGCTTGCATAGCATATCTGTCACATTCCCATCTCAAAAGAAAACCAGGCAGCAGGAGGACATGCATTGTACAGCAGGAAAGTCCACAAGAGGGGCTCAGTAATCACTATTTGAGTCGGGCTGCCATCTATCACTGGAAGGGACGTTCTGAAGCACCTAGACTCCCCCGCCTCCTCCTGATGATATTAAGGTGACGTTGTTTTGATAAGTGGCAAATATCAGTTCCTTTATGGATTCCTCCTTCTTGATCTTCACCAGACCTGGCATTCAACCAGGTTTAAGCACCTCGTTACCTGGTTAATGAGTACTTATGCACGAGTCAAAATTCACCTGAGTGCATTGCAGTCAGTCATGAATGAGTCAAAAATGATGCCAGAAATATTAAGTACTATTCAAAACCTATACAATTAGTTTCTAGTAGCATAGAAAGCACTGAAGGTTTCTTTTGATGTGTACTATAGGCTTAGCACTGAATCACTGCAGGCTACCCTGAGTAAATTCATATATTCATATGTAAGCATGCTTGGATGAGGGAGGAGCTTGGTAAATTGGAAACTGACATTCTCTGCTCGTATTCCAGGGGTGGCCTGATGCATACGAATGTGAATCCATTAGCCTGCTATCAGGACTTTGAGTAGCACCCATAGATTGCCCAAATGTAATAGTTAATTACTATATTATGTTTAGTTTGTCCAAAGACATACTGGCAGGTTATCTGGCTTCTAAGAAAATTGGCCCGGCTGTCTTGTCCAGGCTGTCTCCTTGTGTTGCTTGCCCACAAGTTGGCACCCCACAGCCCCGTGTTGGACAAAAAGCTGAAAAATCACAGATGATTGCTAAAAAGCATCGTAATATTTGGAGAAGAAATAGAAACATAAACACAAATAATAACTTTAGTTTCAGAACGTTGTTGTCACGTTAGTCCAGGACAAATGTCCCATGTGCTTCCCAGGAGCTGCAAGTGTTAGAAACTCTTTCACTTTTTCATTTTGCACCTCGTGTAACCTTTTGTATGTTGTACCCTGTCAAAAAAAAAGACAATCATGCACCAGATTCCTGTAAGTGATATGTTTAAATAAGAGAAAACCTTTCAATTGATTGTAATATCATATTGGGTGTTAGAAATGTTTTAGTTTACTTTAAATTCAGAGATGTACACTGGATTGTAAATATGCAACATTTTTGTCCTGTGCCTGATGTTCTAATGTAGTTTCTACATAACATATCATTATTCAAGACCATCTGTCTCCTCAAATTGCTTTTAAATAGACTGCTCAGGCTTGTTAGTCGTTCAACTACTATGATATTGGGATTGCTCAGTAATTCCGAAATTTCCATTTTCTGCTCGACATTTAAGCAACAAAAATCATTCAGTTAATCCTTTGGACCCCGTAGGAGATCAAAAGTACTGTAGAGTACCCAGCTTAAAGAGCAACAAATAGGCAAGCAAGCTCTTTCCTACCATGAAAACACCACGTGCAGAAAAACACAAAAAAGAACAGCAAAACTATTCATATAAAAAAGTAAAAGAAGAAACAGCATAACAATAAGCAGGTAAATATGTATATTTATTGTTGTTGTTGTTTGACATTCAACTCAGTGCTTTGGCCAAACTGAACTGTAATGCATTCCTTCTGTGTAAAAGAAGAAAATAATAACAATAAAAAACAGCAGACAGGTTAAAACTCACAGCTTCTAGCACAACATAACCACTGACGTGTGGTATGGTACTAGTGAACTGTAACTGTTGTTTTCAGTCATCTGTCAATCTAACCTCATTTGTTTTCCAAAAAAAGGTGCACATCAGTATCTATTTCTATGAGATATGGCTGTCATAATATGTCCACTGAAAAATAGTGTGCATGAGAAAGTCTATGCAAACCAAACTATCCTTTAACCTCAATGATTCCTGGACACCTGCATTTTGTTTTTCAGACATCAGCATAACGCAACCTTGTTACCTCCTGCCTATTCACACTGTACGTCCTACCTGTTCAGAAACGTCCGCCAAACTAACCATAAAATCATTCTGAAGTAAAAAATGCTACAGGTACAGTACGTTTTTAAAATAATAAAAGTGAAAATACAGACCAAATGATATCTGCCGACAAAAGCAGGTTGACTTTCTGAGAGCTGATTTTTCAAACTACTGGATTTGAGTTGGAAAACAAATCTAGTTATTTAATGTAGTTTTGGACCAAAGCAAAGATTTCAAAGTAGGTGGACTGGACAAGTAGAAGTGAATAGATCTCATCACTGTTACCCCTAGCCACAGGATGTTTCTTATAAACCCACTGTTACACATTAAAACTACATTGAACCGTTCACAACGTCTTTTTTTTTTTCATTCTTTTTCTACAGGATCACGATAGTTTTCATAAGAAAACCTACAGCCCAGGCAGCAGTCTGCGTTGACAGTAATTCCCCTTTAAAATACGGCAACAAAAAAAAAAAGCGAAAGCCAGTCAGTCCTCTACGCTAAGTTTCTGATCCCACAACGTTTTCTTTAAGCAATCCAGGAAACTGAAACACTGCCGAAAAGGAAGTGCATTTTATCAGCTCTCGCTAAACCGACAAGGTCTTTCGCGAATGGCGAGTTAGCCTGGACTGCCGTGCGCCTATCGGTGTGGCCAGAGAGCTCCGACGAGGCGGGTCTTCCTCAGCACTGTGTTGTTTCCAGAAAAGAAAAAAAAAGGGAAAAATAAGAAAGATTTTGTTGTTGTGCTTCACCGTTTCAAACTGACTTTTTTTTCCTACTGTGCTGTTTCATTTGCTAATTTTGGTTTATTCCCAGGTAAATCGGTTTTATTTTACATAACGTCTTACATCCGGAATGCCTTTTATATCATTTTCTTTTAAACAGAAGCAGATGTCCGACACAGTGGAGTGTGGAATAACCCCCAAAATGATACAGTTTTCACACTAGAAAAATCGAGAAGTCTGGCAAATTTGCAGTGTAGTGTAACGTAAGGATGTAAAAAATGAAAAGCAAAATATTCTTCTTATTGTTTTTGTGTCCTTTCCACGTTTTGACAAGAGCTGATGGGTATGTGCAAATTGTGTTTTAAAACTGCAGTACCTTGCTGAGTCATTTTACATTTAGGTTGTATGTGTGATTCGGGATGTGATTGCTGTGTAATACCTGAATTGTCCATTTATCCTTTCTTATTTTTGGGGGGGTCTTTTTAAAAGCTATTTTTCGTGTTAATGTTTTTGTTGTTGACCGACAACCTACAGTTAGCCCCTGTGTTACATAACCTACCGAGGGAACAGTCGTTCACATCCTTAAATTGATTTACTATGTGTATACGACTATGTATCGCTGCTTTTCCTGTGAGGAACTCCTAGGCTGAAATTGTATGTGAAAACACAGGGTGCATGGTTTTATTTGTGTTTATTGGCAGGAGCTTAATCGAGTCAGAAGAGGCTTTTCTGACAGCTGTCACATCGTTTTAAGGAAAGCAGAGCAAAATGCAGGGATCATTACAAATAGTCACTATACTAGTAACTAGTTTTCACAGACACGTGGATGTCATGCTATGTGGACAACGTGGGCATTTTTAATTTAGAACAGGTGACGTTATTTGGGGCGCCTCGCACGACTGCTGTATGGGCCAGTGGCCACTGCTAGTTGATGCGGTCATTGGTACAACAAGGTGCTAACGTACAGTACCTAATTTAACAGACTCTATGCGTTTGTGTTTTATTTTTTTGATGAGCTTATCAGAAGAGTGTCCATCAGAATTGTTCCAGCTTTCGCTTCGTTGTTTCTTTCTGTTAAACATTGCTAGGTGCTTATGTTCAGTGCTGTGGCCTTCGGCCTGTTTGGGTTTGTTAAGCTTCGTCTCTGTAGGAGTATATCTAACAAATCCTGGATTGTCTCAAGCTGTTTAACAGTACAGTGGCATTGGTCCAGACTAAAGCTCAGATAAACTCTCTCTCAAACTATGCCGTTTAGTGAGGCTGTGATGGAAACACTGGACAGCGTGGCTTATCTGTATTTTTCTGCCATCACTTAATATAGAATAAATTACATTTCTGTATGAAGTGAGTTTTGCATTGCAAGCAGGACAAAGTCCAGGCAAGTTACTAATCAAAGGAGGACCCTCTTATCCTTATGACAGGTTATGCAGTGCGTGATAATTTGATTAATGTTAATGATGTACTGTATGAAGTATAGATCTTTTTGATGAAGATGGCAAGACCTGAATGTTTTTGTGTGTGTAGTTTTCATATGACATGGAATTAAAAACTTATTGAACAGCATGCTGTGTACCTCTACAAAGACTGTTGCTCTTAGACTTGTCTAACAGTTTTTTTTAATTTTTGAATTGAAAAGTTATCTCTATTTACAAAGTTCAGAATTGTACTGTATTTAAATAAGCGGTCTTGGAACAAAATGTCACAGTTGCCAGCACAATATAGAGCACACACAAACCCACCTGCATGATGTTGCCTATCCTTTGTGTATCAAAGCTTATCATTGTGAAGAGAGTCATTCTTTCTTTGGACGCTAAAGAGGAAATCGTTGTGCTTTGGGTGAATAAGGTGGGATGCTGTGGTTTTGTTTTGTTTTTTCTAGAAGCCAGGAATTTATGCTGTCATGGGCTAAAGAAAAACATGGGTTGGATGAACATCATGACAAGTGCTCACCGATAACTTTTGAATGAGCTGACCCCAAAGAGAGGAGAGAGTTTGAGCTGGGAAAGAGCTGTTGCTGTTTAACTGCTGTTTAAGTTCGACAGAGTCTGCACATAGAGAGAAGACTATGAAATGTGTGAAATAAGACCGTTAAACACTCACTTCATTCTCAGAGGCTTTAGCAGTGGTAAGCCCAACACTGCGTTTGGCACTTAATTCCCCCATGGTCCGTGTCCAGTTTCACATTTACTGCCACTTTTAAAGGGTGCCGTATCACGAATTAGGTGTCTGGTGACATGCTTGCAGCAAGGGAGGGTATGAATGGTAATGTGATACAAAGAGTTGTCTCTTGGTTTTGTAGGTTCTTCCTAGAAACTCTTTTCGGGGTTTTGCCTGAAGTGGGAAATTTTGGGGCTGGAAGAAACCATTGCTAGCAAATGCAACAGTGATCTGGAATTGGTTTCTGAAGATTTGTGTTATTGATGGCTTGTGCAGTGGAAATATCAGCGATTTCAGCCATGAGTTGTGACAAGCCCTCTCCCGTTTTATCTTGACATTTTTAATGTTTTAAGTACATTCAGTTGAGCAAGTTGTCCAGCTTGGTGTTCTGCTGTGATGTATTGTTTCTACCTTCCACTAAAAGGTTGTCAGCTTTCTATC